ATTCCATAATACGAGCTGGTCTAATCGATAGGTAAACCGATGAAAGGGCGATATTCTTTATTCTACCAATTATCTCTAATTAGCAGCGAGACAGGCCATCGACCTATCGCACATGCTCCTTTCGTAGATCTCGGGCTCGAGAAACCGCGGAATAAGTTAGCACCGGACTGCAAAATGAACAGCGACATTCCACCGAGCAGGAAAAGTGTCCACTTTCATCTTGCGATACTTCGCAGCTGTGCAATTATATAGACGCGAAAAACTGGAATCGAATTATCGATCCTCCTAATTGAAACATCCTTAATTGTTTTTTATGATAAAACATGCATGCCTTACATAAGCCTCGTTTTTTCCAACATAAATCATTCTATTCATAATTTATTTGACTTCCTGCCCGATCCATTGAAGATATCTACACCATTGAGATATCGCCAGTTTCCATTCACGACACGACGAAAATGAACAGAAGCTGCGATGTAAAAAAAAAAAAATAAAGAGGAAATATCTAAATCAGCGACGAAGGAACGTGACCATAGAAAATAATACTCTAAATCGAGGTAACTAGTAAAAAACAGTAGGACGACAGAATATAAATTGAATCTCGTGGCTACGTCCTTCGTATGATCGCATATTACCGTTATCTCGGCCCTTGCAACGGCGATACCGATTCCGATCCTGAGTGGAATTCGTTTCGTTCGTTTTTTCATCGCGGATCGCGCCTGGTCACCTTCGTCGTTCAACCGCGACGAGGAAACCTGTTCACCGTGATCGAGGAAAACGATTCTTTCGGCATTGTTTGAAAAAAAACCAATCGCAACAGTATTTCTTTTACAGTTTTATTTTATTCTTGTTATCGAAATACCATCCATTTTATCAAATACGTTTAATTAAATTCTGGTAAAACGTAATAGTGATTATATTTCTGAGTCATGTATAACCATGGAAGAACGAGATTATCTAGACAACAAAATTATAAATCATGTACTGAACGTCACGATACAACTGCATAATTGCATAATGATTATTTGTACGAGACGTACGAGCGGGAGGTGCATACATCCTAATTAAAGTCGAACGTGCGACTACGTAGACGCAATCTCATCAATCAACGGGCATCCACTTTTTCGACGAAACGTTCCAACATGTATCCGAGGCATCAGCTACCGCATTAGCGAGCTGACGCGTATTCTACCCCTGGCCGCCACTGATTTCCTCCCGAAATAAATAGCCCTTTCTTAACGGTAAGCGTAATTAGGCGCCCATCAGGCTCCGGCCACGAAACGCCATGGCGCACGTGAAATATTTCAGCAGCAACAAAGGTCCATGGACCGGACCTGCCGGCCATACGTTCTAGACCGTCGATCCCCCGAGGTTCATCGACCAACCGTGACGCTGGGCTCACGCTGGACGGTGCACGAGAAAAAGAAATAGCATCTCTGCCTGAGATCGTAATCGCGAACAGGAGATATCTCGGATTAATTGGTCACAGATATAGATACTGACAGATACAAGCAATATCAAAGATTCCCGATAGTTCTGAAAGAGGATTATTGAAGATGACGATTATCATTCACCAGTGGCTCCGAGAACTAATCTGATATTATTTCCGGAACGTTTTCAATTTTATATTCGATACACCAAGAAGTCTTCTATACTTTAATCAATGGTTAAAACAAAGGCACCGCAATATGTTAGTATGTTCTGTGGCGACTATAATTAGCCTGATTACACATGAAACAATAATGCTCTCCTTTTTGGGGACAGCGATCATTTATTTTTTTAATTAATAGTTACCGTCAATAAAAAGACAATCTGGAATTGAATCATTCATTTAATCGTGTTCCATCTGCCACAATGAAACAGCATAAACGCGTTATAACAGAATCGAAAAAAATGAACCAGTCGCACACACACCGAATAGATTAACGCGTCCTAATTCCGTGTTTCAACGAGCGGAAACGGTACTCGCTACAGGCGAATTTCGCGCGATACACGGCGACCGTGGGCCCCGTTACGGCGCTGCCACGCCGGTTCTTGATCCAAGGGTTACGAGGACTCGAATTAAAAAGAAATTAAATGGAAATATTGTCCGTCCGGTTCTGCACGCGGCCGGACAACAGCGTACGCGAAATTTCAACTCGATCGACCGGTACCACGCCTTTACTATTCCGGGACCGACGTTCATCATGTCGCGAATGAATTTGAAAAAACGGAGAGGGGTATAAAAAAGGAGAGAACGAGGTAGTGTAATCTATCAAGATGAGTATCGCGAAGGTTCGTTGATGACTGAGACAGACCTGGAAGGTGCGGCGCCAAGGATGCGCCACAGCGCAGTTTGACATAGAGTGATTTCAGATACCCGGGCAACGGTCGTTTTTGGTCAAGAATAACGTCCTGATGTATGAGAATTGGTGGATGTCGTGCGCTCGCTGAAGTTGAAAGATGACAGCTGGTTTTGGATGTTCGAAACGGCGAGAGTTTACACCGGTTTGCTCGCTCGTTCGTTTTAGGACTCCGAAGTATTGAACCATAAAAAAGGAATCGGTAGAGAGCGGATGTTTTATTCTCCGTCCCTCGTACCTCCCTGAATCCAGTACACCGGGGGACTGCGTGTTACGAGCGACTAAAATATTCTGTAATTTCATGTAAATGTCTCGACGCCAGTTGAACCGCGCAGGGTCTATTTTTGCAGGAATTTAAGCTAATTGAATGCGCGAACCGTTTTTACCTGCATTTGCATCGCCGAGAATGGCCCGGAGCCCGCCGCGGACAAATTTAGAGCATCTCCTTGACGAATGACATAATTGGTACGTCTGCGCGGCGTGGAACAGGTTTCTACTTGACGAGGAAATTGTTCCAGATATGTACGTACGCGAACAGGTTGTTGGCTTTCGGTGTATAATACGCAGATAATTGACGCACGCGACTTCTGCATGTAACCGCTGGAATCGCCGAGATTACGCCAGTACATACTGCACGTACCGGGGCGGGTTGGTCAGATTACTTTTTCGTTCCCACTGTGATTCCTTGAGAATACGACGAATCAACAGTTATCGTGACACAAATAGGGACCGGCACAATTATATTTTCAGTTAGCAGTATGCAAATGAAATAAAGCATAAACCTACATATTTGCGAATATTACTTTAACCAGTGACATATTAAACTGGCTAATTTTTGTTGAAACTGGTTTTATGGGTATTTATAATGTGAACTGAAACGTTCACAACTTCTTTATGTCTTTTTATACCAGAAAATATAGATAGGCTTTTTATCCTAATTCTATTCTGTATTTAAGAATACAGTTTTAGTACAATAAGAAACAAAAACTGGAAATTAATTTTCCATAAAGTTGTAATGTAACTACTAATCATCTCGAAGAAACTTTTATCTAAAAGAATATATTCACAAAAAAGACAGATCAATAAAAGAAGAATGACGAGACAATACCGAAATACAATACCGAAAATCCGATCGAGCAGACTATTAGAGGTATCGAAAGACATCTTTCAATTCTTCCTTTTTTTTATTAACACCGTGCAATATCACCGAGATCCCTCTTTCGTTTCCCGTTTAACGGGGTAACTTTAACTCTGCCCCGATGTTCCATGTTCCCCAGTAGAACTCCGAGTCGATAAGAAAATATATATATCAAGATACAAGCGAATTTATTTTGTACCTCCCTCCGAACGAAAAAGTCAGCAGAGCAGAAGAAGATAATGTGACACGAACAGGGTGAAACGAATTTCTATACTCTTCGTCGAGAGAACGAAATAACTGCTCTTCTACAGTGAAGCACTCTACTCTTAGAAGCATAAAATAATTGTTGCTACTGTTTACTGCGTCTCGTATCCAGTTTGAGAATCCTGCCGATTTATCTGTTTGCTACATCAGAGCAAACGGTATACCGCATTTAGGAACAGGAAACAATAAGGAATCTCGCACAGTAGGAACTGTACGAACTTGTCTGAGACTCGCGTGTATACCTAATTACCCAATACCTAAAAATTTCACACAATTCATAGAACAGGGAAACTGAAAACGTTACGCTCACGCATCCTTTGGAACACAGAATTCTCATCATAAAGATGAAATTATCGTAAATCATCCTTGTGTCCAACATCTTTCGTTCGAATTGTTTAATGATTGTTAGAAAATCTTTTTCTAAGTACGAAAATCCTCTTGAAAAAATTAATTGTAGAATTATCGTATGTATCATGAGAATTGATCTTTTGTATCATTTCATTGCAAGAACATCTTCTAAGGGGAGAGGTACAAGATGAAGGGTTCGGACAACACATAGCACACACAGAATCTGGCCCCGACCAAGGGGGTTCGATAATAAATATGCAAAAAGGAGGAGCGTCCGATGCCGTAAATAAAAACGGCGACGTTGCATGCTGCGATCTCCAAGCGAAGAAAAGGAGACCCGAAATAAAAAGGAGGAGATCCGCACGGGGGGCAGGAGAGAAAGGAAGGTAGAAAAACGTAGAACCTCGCCGAGATACGCGACCGACAGTGTCCCCGTAATCTCTTGATTTAGTTTGACTTAGGGCCGTAAAACGTGTTCGCTCCGGTCACTTTGTCGGCCACCTTTTCGCGAGCGAAAGGAGATACGGGAAACGACCCGTGAAAATATCTCGAAACGCAACTTTACGACATCGAACTGACGTCTCTATTAGTAAAACCATTTAACTTTTTGGTCGGCTCGTTTTACGAGACAACCTTCTTCCTTTCGTTGAGAAATAAATAATTGAAGCGACGACTCTAATTTAAATTCTATTTTTAAACATCGCATGCTAAAACTTTTTGCTAAATAGTATTTAAAGACCGAAGCTGATCAATAATTTCTTTACGATATACGATGAAAGAAATTCCTTTCATCAAATCAACTGTTTTCTCGCCTGTTTCCCGTCACGTTTCACGCCGACATGGAACCTCGTTGAAATACGTCAGATGGATCTATATATGGTTCGTCATAGTAAACAGAAGGCACTCACCTGCACTCGCTGTCGATGACGATCTTGCTTCCGTTGCCGCCTCTCCAATTCCTCTTTCCTCTCGATCAGCGACCTTATCTCGACTGTGGCCACAGGTGCGGTATTGTCATCAGGTACGTCTGTACACGAGGGTAATCTCCTGGGGGTATTGACAGGCTCTTCTTCACCCTCGCTGTAACTTTCCACTAGGAGCTCGGAGTCACTCTGAAAACCAAAGAATTCCGTATCTCCTAGTAGAATATTTATTCTCCTATCCTACTTTGCGCGACTGCCTTTAAAACGCATGCTGCATTTTCTCTTTCTAAATTTCGTCTCATCATTTTCTAATAGTTTTTTTTTTAATTTATCGTGTAATTGAGTTCAGCACAAAGTTTCCCGAGGACTGATTTACTTTTCGAAAGATTTGCTTACCTGTTCCGGGGGCGAACTCGGGGTACTCGTGCTCGACGCCTCAACCACGGAGACGTACTCGCTGATGCCTGTTTCACTCTTTTGTAACTTTAATACCGGCGTCTCGAGGCCGCACAGGAACACTTGCCCGAAGAACAGAATCTTGTTTATCCTGAGGCACACTTGAGCAACTTCCTGGAATACGACATGAACCCAGAACTTTAGCACTGAGGCGAGGCTAGAGTCTAGCGTGTGTCTCTTTTCAAATTTCAATCACGTGCTCCGGCCAGAATTGATTTCTGGTTCAACTTTCAAACGTAACAAATTTTATAGAATTTGTAAAAAAAACGTAAAATTAATTTTGAATACGCTTATATAATAGAAGTTTATTATGGCAATTAGGGTTATCTTCATCTTAAGATCATTACAGTATACTTAATAAATGAATAAAAATGATTGCCAGAAAACAAATTATAAATACATGAATATAATATTTCAAACTACTTAACGAGAAATACCTTTATTTTATTTGTTTGAAAATAGCAGATTTTATTTCTACAGTAAGGAAAGTTACACGCTATTATACGATGCATTTTATGTCCTTTCGCGCGTAACGAATTTTATAACAATCGCTGAACGATAGATTACTCACCATATCTTCGTTTTTCTCGGCGTAACAAGGATCTTGTGGATTCGACATTAGCGGCGTGAATCCTGCCAGGGTCATATCTTCCGGCAGTTTGACCAATTCAAGCTCTAAAACAAACGCAAACGCGCGCCGCTCTTAGACAGATTGCAAATTTACAATTGACATAAATTAGCCGCGGACCTCATTAGCGATCGTTGGGAAGAACCACGCACACAAGTTCCCGTTTAGGAAAGAGAATTAATCTGCCGTGTACTCTCTGTTGTACAAGTTCCTTCGAACCCGCTTGCATAGAAATATGCATAAGCAAAGTTCACCAGCGAATAAATACCGCTTCTCAGAAAATTGAGTGCTTTTCGTGGTACAATTTTACGCCAAGGATAGTTTGTTCTCATCTTGCATATTCGCTATAGCTCTCTACGTTAACTCTGATACAATATGAATATATTGTTCTTTCTATACCTTACATATTTTATAAATCGTTTTAATTGAAGATTCTATATTCGCAACCGTCGAACATAAATCGAGCAATATTATACACATTATCGATATTGCAATGAGAAATCAGGAAGTGCTCGATACGTAACTGTTCTTCATGCGTCGCCCGAGTTATTCAAAAATCGGATAACGATCGCAATTACTTCTCGCCAAAAAGTTGCCACCTCTCAATAACGAGGCGATTACAGTTAGACGTTGGAGCCCGTTCGCGTAAACATTACGATTAGAGAGTAAAGTTGCCGTGACTATTATGAATACCGTTGCGCGAAATTCACGTTATAAATGTAATATAGAAGCGGACAGTTATGAGGCAGATATCGCGGGGAGCTCGCGTAGTTTCCCGAAAATTATGCCGGTTGGATCGAACCGACAGATAATGACGTGCGCGGCCTGTTATCATGCAAATATCGAGCGGGTGCACCGGCCCGATAAACATTCAGCAACAACTACCGGGGAGTGGCGGGGCGTTCCTCACGTTGTTCGTGCCTGGCCACATGGACCGTGATCCAAGGCGAGGAGGATATTCAACCTGTCGGATGACACGATGCTCCTGCCAGTTAAACGTTCTAACACGCATACCTCGTTCGACGGCCGCAGATAATCGAACAATTTAACAACCGTCCGATCGGGACGTGATGAATGACGCGATCCTTCATACATAAAAAAAAAAAATGCAACGATTCTCGTATGCATATCTGCGTATACGATGCTACGTTAGAACAATATAATTTAGTTCTGACAAAGTTTTTGAGATAAATTCCGATGCGCGTTTAATAAATAGCATTCCAATTATTTTCCCTATAAAGCTACCCCTCCAACAGTCCAAATTCCTCAAACTTGTTCAGAACCACGATATCCAATACCCGACTACGCGGTAACTCCGAAAAATTCCAATATCCTACATTCCATTATAACCGAATTACAAATCTGGAAGCATATTCATTAAATAAACATATATTAAAGCACGGATTTCAAAAACGAAGCAAATTCAAATAAGAAATACGTGTAATTTAAAAAAATGGCAAAAGCTTCATGCATTTTCTGTGCACACTTTGTAAATTGATACGATGAATACTTTAGTTTGCATATAGATCCACGGTCTTATCATGAGAATTTCCTACAAGAAAACCATAAAACCCAACGGACCTTAGCACGGTGCCAAAAATCTGACCTACCGTCGTTGTAGCATCGGATTCTGGTGCACGCGTTTGAAATCGCAGACGAAGCGTCTAGCGATTTGAAATGCAACGGCGCGTCGCGGCGGGTCGGGCCGTCATTAATATTCGCGCGAGGTGCACCTCAAATCGCTTTACACAGTCGGGCCGCATTTATCGCGAATATTACACGAAGTTCAGGGTCAGTGTGGCCAGGAACTCGTAGTACGCGCGCGGAACGTGAGGAGGATCGAGTTAGGAGGGATTAGCGTGGCAGACTTTGCAATCGATCATCCTGGAGGAGAAGACTTCGCGAGAGGTAGATTAAGGCGCTGTTACCTCGTTCCTCTCGCTCTCTCTCGCACTCTCCGAGCAAAGAAATATAGAAACCTAATCGCGCACGCGAAATACAGAGAGCGTGCACCGACGTGTTTAATGCGAATTTCGAAACGATGTCGTGGCACTCGCGATCACGCGAAACCTAAGTTTTAAGTACACGAAGAACGTCCGATATCGGAATGGTGTTGGATGTCTCTTCAGTAGATAGAAATAGAAACTCGGCTCGCTGCAGGTATTTAACTATTCCTTTTAGTCGACCATTAGGGTACAGAGGAATAATTATTATTGTTTCGAAATCATCTTGGATGCTCCGTCTCAAAGCGTAACACAAGCTTTTACAAATATTAAAAATCATCGCCGTACAAACCTCGTCAAACAAGGACCACTGTGAACGTGATACAGCACGAACTCTTTTCGTTTGGACACGTCTGGACAGCAGCATCGCCAGTTCAACCCGAGAACCGATCGTCTCGAGCGGGTCGAAGACCGACGAAAAGAAAGAACAAAATCAGGGAGAGAACGAATAAAAAGAGAGAGGGAGAGGAGAAACATCTTCGACGATCTTCACAATAACATTTTTTCTCAGGTCCGTAGGCACGTTGGCCCGCCCAACCACCATACTCTCTCTCTCTCTCTCTCGCTCGCGCGCTTTCTCATCTTGTACCTTTTATCCAATTTATCCATTGTGCCCTCGGGTGTAACGCGCGAGGTAAATCGAGAAGAAAGAAGACGCGAGCAAAGATCTCTTCGAGAGGCGGAGATCGGAGGAAGAGGGAACGAAGGGAACGCGAGAACCGCCCGAACCAACAAATTGGCATTGCGGCACACGTTACTTCGATGTACCGTTACTGTCTCAGTTCCTTTTTCGAATCGTATCGCCGGCTGCGTTCTCGCGTGCACGCGAAACCGGACGTTCTCGTTGTTTAGCCTTTCGACGTATCCCGATTTTTCGATGTTGCTTGTTTTTAAGTCGGCGGAGAATAAACTCGTGCACGAGCGAGTATTGATACGTGTTCGTAGAAAAATTTTAAAAGTACTGATATGTCTAACTTGGCAGCTAGTATATTCGATGTACAAGAATTTTACGTTATTATAAAAATTATA